TCTTTCCCATCCCACTGAGACAAGAGACACTGGACAAACTCTCACCATATCTACCAATGTATTTGATTTTATGCCAATGTAAGCTGCTAGTTCTTGTGCTATAAGTCCCAAGTTCTTAAACTCAAAGTCATGAGTCGCAAAACGACATTTTGGTCAACCACAGATCACATGTACGATGGTCCCATTAGACGACAATAGCATATAGCTGAGAAGTGCAGTAGGCTGTATCATCCGAGTTTGTTTAAATACATTCCCTGACCTTCACACAACAAAATGGCCTAATACCACAGACTGAATCCCTGTCATTAAGTGATTCATGACTGTACAGCACAGTGACCAGAAACACAAGCATCATCTTAGGAATGTCAGAAACATAGAATTCAGGCCGCACCCTAGACCAACAGAAACAGAACCTACATTTTTTTTTTTGTTTTGCTTTTTGTTTTTTATTACTTTTCCATAGGGCACGTGAGCTGCCAAAGAAAAATTGAGAAATCACCCCCTAGGAGGGATGGCCATGCTATAATTCCTCCTTCTCCAGTTTCTTGGGATTTGGGACACACAGGCACACGCATCCAGCAGGTTTTCAAGCTGCCAGGTGTAGGACTTGAACCATGCCATGAGCCATGTGGGATCTAGCCTCCTTGATCACCACATAACAGCTGGCCCTAGAACCTGTATTTTAACAAGAACCCCAGGTAAAATGGATACAGAATGAAGTTTGACAAGAACTTCTCTAGTTCCACCTCAAGGCACATACGCAGACTCCCTTAAGCAATCACCCTTCTCAGCATCAACATTTCCTCTGTCCACATTAGAAGTTGCCACTCATTATAAAAACAGACAAATCTTCATTGTTTCACTTATTCCCCTGGTACCATCTAATTTCTCCCTTCCTATTCTGTCCACATTCACTGTCTCCAAGTCCTATCTTTCAATATATCATGAATCTACTCCAGGAAGCTGTTCATCTCTACCATTTTACTATAATTACTCAAGAAGGTTACCAGTCATGTCTACATTGCTCTACCTCAGGACCAAGGTCTCAATTCTTATCTTATCCAGGCATTTAAAAGCGCTTAAGCTCTCCCACACCTTCAAACAGACTCCTCGCTTACCTTCCAAACACTACAATCTTGTTTTCTTCCTATGTCGCTGGCTCTTACTTGTCAGTCTGCTTTACCAGTTCTTACTCATCACCACAACCTCCAATCCCAAGGCTCATAGTCTGAATCTCTCTAGCATCTACATTCAGTTCTAGGTGGAGGTGATTTCACTTGTTCTCATGACTTTAAATCAATCTTAAAATTTATATATTCTTTTTGGCCCTTTCCCCTGCATGCCAGTCATACATCCAACCACCTACTCACTGTTTCACCTGGAATACCTAGTAATTATGTCAAATTTACCAAGTCCAATAAAATAGAAGTCTTCATTTTTCCTCCCTAGTCTGCTTCCCCTGCAATCTTTTCCAACTGGGCAAATGTCTACTCCATTTTACCAACTGCTAAATCTAAAAGCTTATAATCCTCTTTCATTTCTCCCTCACCTCACTTCTAATCCAACAGGAAATCCTGTTGTCTCTGCCTTCAAAATATATACAGAACACAACTCCTTCTCACCCTTCTGTTGCCACTAGCCTGTTCCAAATCACTGTCATCTCGTAGAATTTCCCAACAGCCTCTTAACTGGTCCCTGTGTCTGCTCCGGACCTACCACCACAGAACAGCCAGAGTGACCTTATGAAATATAAATCAAATCATGTCAAGTCATCTGCTTACAATCCTCAAATGACTTCTCATTTCCTTTGGCAAGTTCTAACAATGTCCTATAAAGCCTTATTTAAATCTAAAAATCTCTAAACTTCAGTTTTATCCCACTTTGCTCACTCTGCTCCATGCACACCAGTAACCTTGCTATTCCTTGGAATACAATAAAACAAGCTCATTTCAATGCCTTTGCACTTCCTACTCTCTCTCTGGAATGTTCTGCATGCTCAAACCTCTACTCCACCTATCCATGAAGCTTTGAATGCATAACCCTGTTCACAAAACAGTATGCCCTCACTACTGAGGTCAAATTCCAACCCCACATTTTTTCTTCTTGGTCTCTCTCCCCTGAGCCAAATGTCAGCTCCATGAAGGCAGGGATTTTTCTCACTGCTGAATCTTTCAGCCATAAAACAGTATTTGGCGTACAGCAAGCACTTAGTAGCAGCTTTGTGCATGATTTCCTGTTAATATCTAATTAAGGAGTCCTTTTTATGCCACATAAAATCATTGAAAAGTTCTGCATTTACAACCTGGGCAACACTAGTCAGCTTCATAACAAACTTTCGCTTTGAACTGAATAAAAATCACTTGGTGGAGAGGCCTCTCCAATTCGTACCTGAAGGGTATGAGTGTGAAAATGGAAGAAAGCAAGCAAAATAGTTTTCAATCACCCTAGCAGTAATAGTCTCAATCAAGAGGATCCTTACACAAATGACTCACGCTGAGTCTTACTCTATATTCTAATTTATTCTGGAGAGCTTAAGAACCTTTTATTTAGTCTTTTTAATTTTCTTTTTAAATTTTATACATTTAATCAGTATATATCACTTAGCTAGTAAAGTGAATTCACCCAGAATGAACACACTTAACACCAGTCCAGTTTAGATTACTACAGAGGTTACCATCAACAGATAATTATTTAACAGAACGTTTTATCCTTTTACCCAAATTTTACTAAAATCCTAGATCTATCAGAGACATTTATCAAATGATCTTAAGAAAAACCTCTATCCTCAAAATGCAACCTATTTTTTTTTTTAGAGGATTTTGCTATAGGGTGCGTGCGCTCGTCAGAGAGAGACAGAGAGACAGAAAGCGAGAAATCACCCCCCAGGGGGGATGGCCACCCCACAATCCCTTCTCCTCCATTCTCCTCTCGGGATCTTGGGCATGCACGCACATGCGCCCGGTGGGAGTTTCCAGCCACCGAGTCTGGGATGCGAACCGCGGTCAACTACATGGGAGTTCCAGCGACATAGCCATTACACCAACTGCTGGTCCCAAAATGCAACCTATTTTTATAAGATGTTCTGATAAAGAGGAAGTCATCCATATAAACTATAATGATGTTTACAGCTATATAAGGGGTCTTTGGAAAGCTAAGAAGAATATATATCCATTTGCAACTGTGTACGGATTTCAAATTTTCTGCATCAAAATAAAATCATACTTTAATTCAATTTTCCACAAACTTTCTGAAATATTTGCATATATTTTTGCACAAATAAAAGATACAAGTCCATGGAGAATGATGGCCTCAACAATTCCATTTGTGTGCAATGTGGTTTCAGTTTCCTAAAAGCATATGCTGAAGGTATGATAAAGTAAACTACTCCTTAATGTTAAATAAGGAACATAAAAAGCAGACTATTCAGGCTTAAGCCCATATGCCTGGTTAAGGGAGCTGGATCCCACATGGCCAACTTCAGTTAAGAGTCCTGGCCCTAACAGCTTGAAAAACACACCAGCTATATATGCATTTGTGCTTAAGGTCCCAACAACATGAAGAAATGAAGAAAGACTGCAATGTGACCAACACCCCATTGAGGGGGTGCTTTCTCCTCCCTCTGAAGAATGCACATGTCCCCCCTGGCAATTAAAAAAGGTGCTTTTATAAAGCAGAACATCTCAGAACAATTTCCAAGACCAAACTTAATATGGACTATATACACACTCTAGAGATAACTATATTGCTAATGGTTGTGCAAACATCAAAATGATTGTTCAAGTTATAGAATACAAGATCCCCAAAGCTAGGAAAAAGTATAGACTATACTCAGTGCAAATTTTCTATCAGTAACTAAAGAAATTTGAAAATATAAACAAAGAACCTTCAAATATTATACAAGTATCCCACAGAATTACGATTTTTTAAAAAGATTTTTCATATATGTGTGTGTGTGTGTGTGTGTGTGTGTGTATATATAAATCAAGAGTAGATTCACAATCCAAGAGCATACACAGTACAATTGTTCTCAGTCTCATACCTCACACAAAGCGCAGAGATGGGGCCACAGGACAACAATGCTCCTTCTGGTGATTACCAAGATAAAAAATTTTCAAACAGATGAGAAGAAAATAGACCCAGAGAGATTAAATGACTTAACCAAAATCACAGAGCTAGAATTAGAACTCATGTATCCTGGGGACCAGCAGGTGGAGTGGTGGTTAGGGTGCTGGACATTCCCACATGGCCAACGCTGGTTCAAGTCCTGAATCTGGTGGCTTGCTTTCTCCCTTTCTCTCTCTCTCTGTCTCTCTCTGGTCAAAATAAAATAAGTAAATGAATAAAATTAAATTAAAAAAAAAAATACTCATGTATCCCAATACCAAGTTCAAATCCTTGGA